AATTTTTTAATAAAATGATTTTTGAGAGAATAATTAGTTATCGAAGTTTTGATTAAAATAAGGTTTTGTAGTTATTTTTACCTGTACAATGCTAACCTGTGGAAATACCTTCAATTTAATATGAACTTGTCTTTAATTTAATAAGCAGAAATCGCTCAAGTTTTTCCCATACCTTTTGGCTTTTGAAATCTTTATATTGAATAAGTATGGTGTTAGAAAGTGGAATATCATCTACATATGATTAAGAATTTAAATGGTTTCAGTGAAATAAGAGCCGCGGTGCAATAATGAAAGTCGCCCAGGGATATCTGCGTCGGAAAGGGGTGTCTTCATGGAGAAATTACTGTAGGAAAATATTTGCATTTACGTATGGGAATAACTATGAAGATAGCACAACCAATTCAATTCTTTACCGGGATTTGAAACTCGTGTTTAGAAGTCAGTAGTTTTTAACCTTCCATCACTGATGAGCGTACGTCTTAAGTTTTTAGTTTTTCTGTGCGTGTTAAGGAGAAACTCAGCCATATTTATAATGCATTAATTATTTCTTTAAATATAATATTTATTCTCAAATTTTGTATCAGCATAGAGTGAGAAAAGTCACCATATTTTTATTTAGGATAATAATGATTTTCCTCCCCCCTTTTTTTGTAAGTATCTTTGTTTCGGGTTACAGATTATTACGTTATCCTTTGCACGCATACATACGAGTTGATCACAGAGCAGCATAATGAGGTCTTGGATACAACTCAACTTATTTGCAACGAAAATGACAGTTGTAATCACTTTTAACTGTGTTCTGCTCCACGCTGTAGAAATGTTATTTCCTAGTACCTTCCCAGCACCACTGCCTTAATAAAACGTATTAATTAATATTGAAATAACACATGTAAGATATAAAATATAAAAGAAAATAACTAACAAATTTCTAACTTAATTGGCAATAATCTTTTTAATTTCTGATTTTATTTGTCCACGTCTCCCTTCAAAAAATCTGTACTGCATCACTTACGTCATTATTTCATCTGCAGTGCTGTAAGCTATTGCTCAATCGCTGCTCAGGATTCAGAAAAAGGATTCCGAACTTATTTATAGGCCCTGCTGAAATACGCAATCACCTTTTTTCTTACTTGCTCCTGCCTGGATATAACTCGCGTATCTTCGCTTAGCTGCATCTTCTGTTATTTAAAATGTGACCAGTGAATATAAAATTGTGGGCCGCTTGTAGAGAACCTCCTGCGTTGTAACAGACAAGAAGATATGACTTAATAGATTATTAGTCAAGAAATAGAATGCTGTTTTAACTGTCAGGCTAATTATGGTTTCCAAATATTCAATGATCTAATATGCAACCGGCATGTCTGCCACTACTCCGGCCATGGCGACTGATTGATGCTGCCTTCTCATCTACAAAGAAATCATCACATATACATATATTGAAGTGAAAAAAAATGGTACGGAAGTTTAATACTTAGCTATGAAAGTATAAAAAGTGCAGAAAAAAAATGATTCTACTAGTATACGAAACATGAATTAGGATAGGATTATTGTGGTATTTCTGTACTTTCACATCTCGTTGTTTGGCGTCACATATGTGTTTGGATATTGTTGAGGTGTGACAAGTGGACTTAGTGTCAACTATTTTAATCTGTTGTCTTTATAGATTATAGTAGTGCACTGTCGTGTTGAGGCCGCCAAACCCATCAGAATGAACTCAGAACATGAATGGATGTAACTCATCAAAAGAGATGTACGCATAACGTTTTCTTGTAAAAGACATTTGTGGACAGCAGGGGTCCGAATGAATGGCAGGTAAATCCTAACTATTGCATAGCCACCATAAGAAAACCCATAATCATTACGTAGATACCATAAAAGAAACTTATAATCATTACGAAGCCTCAACAGTTGTTGACATATGAATATTAAAAACTTGCCCCTATAATCTTATTTTTCAGGCACAGCTTCACCCTCTTAAGCATTTCGCGTTACATTTTACAAAAAATACTACAATTTCACTGAATTTATTTACATATATACAAAATTCGTAACAAAATAATGTGTTTTTAGTGCACATGATGAAAAACATTCGAAATGTTCAGTCTTGATTTAATACTGATTTCAAATAAAAACGTTCTTTGCTTTTCAGCAGACATTCTGGCATAAGTCCCTCAAATTCTTCAACATCAGGTTATTTAAAGAGAGAAAACCACTGTTTTTATCAGCTGAAGTATATTATCGGAAACACAGTTGGAATTATGTTATTTTGTTCAGATGTGACTTTGAACGATCTAACAAATGTGAAAAAGTTGTTAGTAGAATGGCTAACTGCTTTATAAAGGGATGCTTTCTTAAAGGATTTTCTAAGGGAATTTGGTTCGTAGTCATATATGTGTATGGGAGAAACCATGAAAACTTTCATGCAGCCTTGCTTTCTACATGGAATTTGAATCCTTGTTGAACTACCAGTATTTAGCGGTTTCACTCAGCCAGGTACACTGCGCGAAAAAAAAAAGGGAGGGGTGGTGTTCTATATCTCCCGTTCGACTGGGCCGATTGACGAAATTCAGATTGCATTTTTCATGTCTCGAAAGCGCGACTTAGAATATATATTATACATATATTGTTCTAATATAGGTATTTTGACACAAAATCGGACTTTTTCTGAAATGACATGCTAGTTTATTATTATTATTATTATTTCGTATTTCGCTTCTACGACCCAAATTATGCATAAATACTGAATTTCATAAAATTTGGGCGAAAGTTAAAAATTTATTTTGGCGCATTTTTTTCAATTTGCGCCAAGAGCAATTCACTCAATTTATAGCACCCTATTTTCCTTTCCTTTTTCTCATTGTAGAGCGGGAGGAAAGAAAAGTCATCGTTCATACTTTCGTTCATAATTTTAACAAAGTGCGTAAACCACATTTGGCGTTATTATCGCTTATAACAAATATGCTAAATTTCAGAATGCTCCAATATGTGAATTCACATATATCTTGGAAAATTTTGAATTAAAAACTCTGATTTTTTGCAGGTGTGCCTAGAAATACATCTTTTTAAAGATGATGTTAAAAATTTTATAGGGTATAATACAATTTTTGAAAAATATTTAAAAATGCAAATTTAAAAAATAAATCATAAACAATATGCAAATTATATTTGGATTAAGCCTAAATTTCGAATTCGGGAAGAAGGAATCAAGTAAGTTTAATAAAAAAAATATTAATAAATACGTATATCAAATTCAATAACATTGAGGATTTTTTAAAAACTACTCGTGCGATTTTTACAAAACTTGGCAGTTTGAGATAATTAGTCGAGACTCGAAATATGGTAAAACATTTCATGCCATTTCAGAAGTCCGATTTTATGTTAAAATATCTATATTAGAACATGCTATATATAAATCTAATACATATCCCAAGTCGAGCTTTCGAGACATGGAAAAAGCTGTGAATTTCATAATGGGACGTAGAACAAGAGATAATAAGTCCCTTCCACCCACCCTTTTTTTTTTTTTTTTTTTTTTTTAAGCCAAATGGCTTTGTCCCTGAGGACTAATGTTTCGTTTTGCGATTTTGCGTTGAATTACTATAAATGTCCGTTTCACTTTTCAAACTATTCTCATCAAATGTTAGTCCTGCATTATATTTGAAGAAATTAAATAATGAAAATCTGCATAAATATAGGTATATTTCTTGTATTGTGATAAAAAACAACGGTATCTAGAGCCATTGAATTTTGAATGACGTAATCCTCCTACGAATATGGTCATGTGGAAGACCAAATTTGAAATTTAGAATTTGTTTTATGATCGATTTCATATTTGTAAAACTTTAACAAATTTTTGATTAACAAACTCAAGGATTCCAAAGCAAGCAAGGGCAACACCCTACGGGGGAGGTGAGAATCCTTTTTTTATCTCCAACGCGCGGAACTGTGTGAAATTCTAAAGATAGGCTCATTTAAAAATTATTTTGCGACATTGCTATTCAACTTAATTTTATGGTTATGTGCAAGGAACATAAATATTTAATAAAAGTACACAAAATGTTAAAAAAAACGCCCCTTTGGACGTAATTTAAAACCTGAAATCTTTCAGTTTTTTTTGGGGGGGGCGCAGTGTTCGTATTATCGCAACCACCTTAGTAGAAGTTGCTAAATTTTCAGAATTCTGCCAACTCTGGCAACCATACGCTTAACAGTTCTTTAAGTAGCCTTATCCATTGTAAGTTGTAATCAGAAAATTCATCGAATCATTTTTTTTTTTTTTTTTCCCTTATGTAAAAAACTGCCTAACTGTGCCAAGGTGGTTGCGCTAATATGTAAGTACCCTCAACCGCTGGGCCTATTAGCAGTGTGAAATTAACTGTTCGAATAGTGAATTTTAAATTTAGTGCATTAGAATTTTCGCGTCATTGTTAATGAATTTAAACATTTCATTACATCGGCCTAAAAAGTATCTTCTGTCGAGCAGATTTAAGAGGGAAAATCTTGTTGTTTTCGTTTTATCTCTCTAATACTTCTTTTAAATAATTTGAATATTTGATCGTATATATATATTTTTTAGGGGTAAGAAGGGAAAATTTCAAGCTAACATATAATTTTAGGTATCCATTAACATGAGAACTTAATGCGTTGCAAATACTTCTGGGTTCTTTACATTTGCATGCTATTTTATTTTATATTTTTAAAAATTTCTTTTTAAAATGTATTGTAAATTTTTACACTTATGATATTAAAATTGCTTTTAACTGCGCACTGACAACTTGAAACAGCTGTTGTGGTGTAAGTTTTATGAAACTAAGCATGTGTATTGGATTTGCATGTTAAATGTAACCGGTGATGGTAAACTCTTACTGTAATATTACTAAATGCTATTAGTACTTTTTTTTTAACATTTTAAGTTTGATGACTAACCATGGATTTTTTTGTCTTCTCTTTCCTATTACCCTTCTCGTACCTTCTCCCTTTCTCTTCCAAATATTTTACAGAATAGTTCAAGAGAAGAAAGATGACGATTGCCTTAGAGACTGTGCCATATGCGCATTATGCACAGCGTTATGTTGCTTCTGTTGTTCTGACTGATTCCTGAGATACAGAAAATGGTTCATAGTAGATATTTGTAGGCATGTTATTTGTGCAGTCACTTTCACAGAGCGCTCACATTTTTGTAAATACTATAATTCAAGTAATTTTCCCCGCTGGGTGGGGTGTTTTCTGTCTTACCTTTAATTCTCTTATTCAGATTAAATTGTACATTATAAATTGCATATAAATAATTAATTGCAGTACTGTATTTCTAAGTTTACTGCAGCAAAGGCATATATTAAATAGTTGCGCTTAGTTATTCCGTTTAATTAGAATTATTTATGTTACTTATATTTAAAAAAGAGAATCGTAGATTTCGGTAGAAGTCTGATTGTGTAAGTGTCTGCACATGAAGCTATTCGATTATCAGTAGAGTTTTCTGCATTATACACTAAGCAGAACATATGTTTTTAAATATTTCTTATAAAATCATAGTTTGAAGTATAATATTTGTATGACATTGCTGTGTGGAATTTTTTAAATTTTGAATAACTAATAATATGTGATGTTTTATGTAATGTGGAGTATTGCTATGTTTTTATTCTTAGATTGTATTAATAGCATGTTAAAGTTACGTTAAGTTTGTGCGAATGGCATGCTGTGAAGATGTGAATAACGAGTTAAAATTACATTATGAAAACATATCTTTAATTCTTTATGAATTATTAGTTTATTATTTTCATAGATTTATTTGATTCAAAAAGCATAAATGTTTCATCTTACAGGTATCTGCGGTTAGAATGTTTTGATGTATCTAATGCGATGTGTATTAATATTTTTGAATATTTCGGAAGGAAATAATTGGGCGGAGATTTTTATATTATGTGTAATAATGTTCTAGTTTTGAATCGAATCAAGAAATGATTAATTTTTTCAAAAAAGAATAACATTTTGTTCCAAACAGAATTAAAAATTTAAATTTAGAGTTCTGTGTTGAATGATTAAGCATAATATAACACTTCTTCATTCCAAAATTTCTTAGTTTTTTTATAATATATATATATATGATTAAAATTTTAATATTTTTTCAACTTTTTGATCAATTGAATGAATTAAGATTTTACATTAGTTGCAATATTATTGTACTTATATTTGGAATTTAAGAAATTGGCAAACATCTTCCAGATAGATTTTAGGTTTTTATGTTTAATATACAGTTTTGTTATAAAAATGTTTTTATGTAAATTCAGGATTCTTTGGTAAAAGCAAAAAGCATAAATGTTCTTTTACATTTCATTTTACTCTTATTTTTTCTACAGGAATGAGCGTATTTCTTGCTTTCCGTAGGCAGTATTTATTCCACAGTTTTATGTATTAAAAAAAAAGCACAGTGCCTAATATTTATATTCTAGATAATTGTGACAATTGTATAAAATATTATCCTACCGAATATTTTATGACTGAGATTGTTTGTCATTAGTATGTATTTAATAATTAGTTTATTCCTTGTTAGTCATTTAACAGACATGTAGTGATGTTTCAAAAGAATTTTTCAGTACATATTGTAATTGCTTTTATATTAAAGATAAATTTTCTATTTTTGTAAATTAAGGAAAAGGTTTTGTAAATATGTTAGAAGAATGCTTTTTTTCCCTTTTCGGTGTAATACTAATTATATGAATTTATACATTCTTCTGTTAAATAAATACCACTTTATTTTTTATCCTGTCTCTAAATTATTGGCATTTTAAAAATCGATCTGCTGATGTTGATTTCGAGTATTACTGTTAAATATAAGATTTTATTTTTTCATTAAAAAAGAGTTTTTATTTTGTTTGAATACAAATTTAAATAAAAGTCATGGATTTTTTAATATTTGTACATATCAGTTTTTACTATTTTATGTATTTTCCTAACGAAAGTAATTGCTTTTTCAGTATTCATGTGTCTGATATTGGTATAATGTAATTTTGAAAAACAGTTACATTCAGGGCCTAATGGGGCTCGTACTCCACCTTCAAGTAGGCCTCCAAATTTTCCTTTTAGTATTTAACATATAAAAAAATTTCTATTTTTAAAATTTAACTTTTAAAATCATAAAAATATGTAAAATTAAATAGGTAAATAAAATGCTAAATTTCTTATTTTAGTCTTTTTCATACTTTAAATCATTGTTTATTTTTTAAAGGGCTTACGAAAGAAATGAAAAATATAGTATGAAAAAAGCTACATTATTTTCATTTAAAATTCTTTATTATTAAATTATCATTTATAATGGATTGAATGATTACATTTTTTAAATATTTCCTAATTTTTAAGACGGTTACAACATAAATACCAGGAAAGTAATTTAAAAAAATATTGCATCACGTTCTAAAGAAACTGAATATTTTATCTTTCATGCGCCTCGATTATTGAGTTGATAAATAATTTAACTGCATTAATTTGGTCATACCTGTGTAGTTTAATTAATGTTTATAATAAAGCCAATAAGAATTCCTTAGGTTCTTCCCTATCGTTTAATTTCTTTCAGAAAAATACAAGATCCTGATTTAAAACATGCACGTTTATATATTATACAACACACTTAACAACTATGAAAAAAAAAATTCACAAAAATGTGAAACATACATATTTGATTGAAAACTTTGAATGAAAATTTTCTTTTGACTGAGAACTGAACTGAATTAAAAAAATGAAAGAAATTGAATTCTAACGTTGTGTCACGAAAATAGTGTATACTAAATGTACTTTGCATGAATATAATTTACATCAGTGGCATCTTTTTTAACATAATTTACATCATGTTAAAAAAAAAAGTTAGAGAGGAAAGGACTTGGTAATAAGTTTTGTCCTTGCCGTCCAGTTTCATAAATCAGCCTGATCACACTATATGTTGCTCATAGCTAAATTAATATTTAAAAAGTTTAGCATTCAATATTGAAAAATACAAGTTCAGCATTTATTGAAATTTGTTTCAGAATAATTTTGACATTTGCTTAAAAAAGTGTAAATTATAAAGTTTATTTTTCTGATATTATTTAGTATTACATCACTAAGGTGGCGTCTGGGTTTTAGTGTGGCTTCAGGAACATATGTTATATATTACTTGGAAGGTGATTTTCGTATCTTAATTTTTCACTTTCACTACGTTTTAGCAATAAATTTACAATGGCGCAGCGGATGATATCTGCCACTTTCAGTTTGAGCCGAAATTTTCATCCATCTGTTTTACGTAATTTTAAATTGTTAGCTAATGACTTTTAGAAGTGTTCCTTTTTTTCGATTTTTTTTAAATAAAGCAGTAAAAGTTTATAAAATATAATGATCGAGTGACATTAACAGATGCCGTTATATCTTTAACAGATGTCCTTCAGCTTGGTGCATTATACTTCAAAGAAAGCTACTAACATCCGAAATTAAAGTATGAAAATTTAGAGTTCTATGTTAAGATAGAGGGGCGTGTCATTTATATGTGGCTGAGTCGAAACATCTGCGTCAGCTCGATTATCATCTTTAGTAGAATAAGTCGCAATTTGAAGACTTTCTGTTTTAAAATCATTCTGCTGAAAAATTTCTTCGTTTTATTTTAGGTTTTTGGAACCGAATTTTTTTCCCTTTCGTTTTTCTAGTAAAAAGTCTGTAAATAAATTCAAACTAACAGTTGTTCAACTTTCACTACGACACTTCTGAAAATTAACTGTATAGAAGGCATATTTCATTCAAGAAATGAGCTCATTTAGTTTTTTTAAAGTTGCCACTAACTAACTTGCTAATTAGAGCTCAATTCACAGAAATTGTGTGCATTTTTACTTCCTTGTACGAAGTAAAAAGGAAGTATTGTAATCGCGAAAAGTTTCAGGCAGCATATTTCAACGAAAATATCCATTTTGACCGCTATCGAATGCAATTTAACGATGTTTTTGCGTGATATCTGTACGAAGGACAGAATAAAATACTTTTTTTTCCTTAAAAAAAATTATAAAACTGCATTAAAATGAATTCTGAAGAGAATTTTTCCTGGTGTCTGTACGTACGTACGTGCGTACGTACGTATCTCGCATAACTGAAAAACGAGTAGCCTCAGAACGTTGAAATTTTATATATAGGACTGCTATAAGATGTAGATGTGCACCTCGTATTTTGGTTGCAATCGGCCGCACCAAACGTATATAAATATATTATATATTATACTCTCTTACCCGGCTCAGTGATCTCACTCAGTTTCTTTATCTTTGTTGTAAATTGTACTTTTTTTTTTTTTTTTTTTGCTTTAAAAATATTGAATTATGTTGTTTTTATCTTCTGTTAAGGATTTAATGCCTTTAGTAAATCTGTGTGCAATATTTTTAGAATTATCAGCAATTTTAAAGTTGTTTAATGGCCGCTAAGCCTTTTTTTAACGGCGGCCATTGATGTTTACATTTGAAACAGGAGACTAGTGGATATGTTGCCAATCTAGAGAAACTTAGCTTCGCAACAACAAAGATAACGCATTTATTTATTATTGCCAATTAAATCATGCTTAATTCTTTCTGGAATTTGTTCCAGGAAATAAGTGTTTGAGATTTACTTCGTATAATTTTACAAGATTGCATGAACTACCGAATACATTGGTAATATAATGATGTTGAAAATAAGTGATTGGTAAAATCGTAATCTCTACATATAATAAAACAAAGAGTCTTCACAAATATAGGTTTCGAAGGTGAGAGGCGTGTTCTGCGTCTGAAATGGATTGAGCCTTTTAATTACATTAGTCTTCGGTAAAATTTCGCCAGTTGTTTAAAGCTGTATATAGATAATATAGCTCTGCATCTATGTTATAGATAATGTAGCTCTGCGTCTATGTTATCATAAGCATAAAATTATATTTTTATTTTATAGAGTGCGAGTTATGTGAATTATAACTTTTTCATTGATTTAACCTAATTATTAAAATATTTGCAACGTAATCTAGTATTTTTTAACATGATCCTACTAAGCTTTCATTACAGCATAATGCTTCACTGCATGCAAAGAGATCATAACAAAGGCATTCGAAGTATAATTTAGTAATTCACCCATGAATTCCATGTCTACCCGTACAAACATTTTTATTCAAAATTTTCCATGGGAATCCAGTAAATTTTCTCATAACAAATAAAAAGTATATGTTCGAAGTTGAAGGAAACTTGCTCCAGTTTTCTATAATTCTTAGAATATAGAGTTCATTGTTCCCTTATTTCCAGTTCATTTCTGCTAAGTAGAACAGTTTTTGTAACAGAAAATGCTGTTTGGCCGAGTACTTCGATAAACCAATCGATAGACCTCTTCCCATTTAAACACGTAGATTGACTGCTAGCGACGTTTTCGATGACAGAATGAATCTTATCTTAATACATTTATGACGTAAACGATTCTGTAATATTTATACCTACAAATTTCTAATTGTTTGGGTTAATATAATACAGAATTGATAAAAACAGTCAAGAAGAAAATTTCTATATTGTTAGAGGAGCATTAATTCAATATTTAATGGGAAAATCCATTAGTAGCCGCAGCAGCGGTTATTCCACAACTGTGTGGCATTAAAGCATCATTTTTATTAATATAGTAATTGTGCAAGTGTTTACAAAAGATTTGAAGTAAATATTATTATGAATCACATAAATATATTCTAAATTATATCAGTTACAGAAATTTTATCGAAAAATGAAGATATAAATTACGGTATATATGTAATCCCGGAGAAGGCACGGTTGTTACAGTCTGTCCCTTTATAGGAGGCAAAGGTGGACCACCTATTAGGTGCCTCCATAACAAAGTGACCTTTCTGAACTTAGTCGTGGCCAAGCCGAAGTCGGCTGAGAGTCCGCCATTGGTTCAAAAAATGTGTTGCTTTTAATTTTAAATCGTTCAGTTAGTGATAGATGAAGTACATATATTAGTTTTAAATCGTTCAGTTAGTGATACATGAAGTACATATATTTGTTTTAAATCGTCTGGTGACACAATGTACGAAGTATGATAAATCGTCCAATATATTCAGCTAATTTTATTTCCCGGTTTAGTTCCACAGTAACTTGAAATTAAAAAAAAAAAAAACAGGAATAACTGTAAAAACCATACAGAATGTGCCTTAACGTTATCATCTTATACCTCATAAAATGAACTGGTAATCTTCATAAGTCGTAAATAACTACTTTGGTAGAAAATTACCAACGAGGATAGTACTGATCAAACAGCTACCTTCAATAATTTTTGTTGAAAATATATTGTTGCGTTATATTCTTCCTTCACGTTCGTACGGGGTTCGTAGATTTGGAGGGAATAACGACGACACTTGATAAAGTATCGAAAAACAGACTTTATTGGTCAGTATTAATCAGGATAGCTTCAAAGTCAGTTTTTACAGTCGTCGAAGATCTCTTATAAACACGCTGAAACTCAGCGACACAGCCTTCACATTATCAGGCGATCAAGGTGGAGACAGCTTCCTGCAAAGCTTTCCGGACTCTGCTTTCCGGAGTACAGCTCCCGACTCTGCTTAATCGTTCTCGGAACTCCACGTACTCTCGAGGCTCTCCACGCTACAACTCGCGATGCACTCGACGACACACGAGCACAGCTCCCGACTCTTCGGTTCAGTCGTTCCCGGAGCTCAACACGCTCTCTCGGCGATGCACCAACTGCGATACACTAACAGACTCCTTCGGTGCACTCGACGACCTACTCGGCACTCTTGCCTGGCTGTCAACTCGATCAACTCCGCAGGGATTGACTCGCTGGACGAGACACCAACTCGATACTGACTAACTCGCAATCTAGACGAGGCACACACACACTGACTGCGGACAAGCAGGGTTTATATAGCTTTCGGCTTGTGTTCGGGA